CCTGCTGAGTTTGTTTTCATTACTGACCCACTTCCTCATGGACTAGGGTTGTGTCAATACCCTGGGGCTTGTACCACCATGTGAGACCACAGATGATGTTTTCTCATTCTGGCTTGCTTTCTCTTTTTGTTCCTCCACACCTGCCATATTTCCTGTAGGTAATGTAACTGCAGAGTAGTGAGGTTGGGGTTAGGTTTGCGGGCTGATGGCTTTTGCCTGATCAAAGGTGACTGAGGTTTGATTTCTTGCAGGCGCTTATTGCGAATGCTGCTTGGCCTGCTGATTTGGTGACACCTTTACATCAGCTGAACTTAATATTAGTTTGTTAAATAACCCTTAGACTTTTATGGGGAAAAGTGGCTGTGTGAGCATATCACTATGCTTGATAATGATAATCACTTTCATTGGCCAAGCACGTTACACACATGGAATTTGTCTCCGGTACAGAACTGAGGCAGCCATCTGCAGTGGCAACTCACACACACATACACACACTGATGGTTGGCACTGTCCCTCCAAGGCGCTGCTCTGGCCATCAAGAGCAACTTGGGGTTCACTGTCTTGCCCAAGGACACTTTCTTAGTGGTTACTTGTTGTGAGTGGTTCGGTCAGGGCTTTATGGGTAAAATGTCTACATTGGGGAAATCAAGTAATTACATTGTGCTATAAACATTATTTTACATTGAAAAGTAATATCTTGAGTCACAAGAGCCCTGTAAACTGTGATGTGAATGGTTAGTATGGACCTGCAGCAGTTTACGGGTTTGTCACCACACAATGGTTAGCTGTCTCTGGCTCTCTTGTAATGAATGATAAGATCTCACTACCAAAAGGCTAAACTGAAAAAAGACTCATGTTAATTTTTTTATTTGTTGGTGAAATGATACCTCTGGCTGTGAGGCCATGGAAGTCAAGTGAATCATTGTGTATTTTTCTGTATTCAAGCCCTCCCTGCTGGGAAGCTAACACTAGCTCACAGCTGTCTGCCTATACCCGGCTGATGCGTTGTCAAAACAAACCGTGCAGATGAATTAGTGAGCAGGCCTTCAGTTTCTGCCCTGTCTCTGCTCAAACTGATCATTAAAGTGGCTGTCTGCACTGAAGCGTATGCTACTAACAGTTTGTGTAACTGTGTAGATGCATAGGGATGATGCTCTTTAAAAAGGGTTGAGCAGGTCTGGCCCTAACTGTAGGGTTCGCCGTTTGTTCCCAGGTTCTTCTGTCTACATGTCAGTGTTCTTGGGCAAGACACTGAACCCTAAGTTGCTCCTGGGGGCCATCGATGTATGAGAATGATTGTATGGCAACTTTGTGTGTGTGTATGAATGGGCAAATATTGTAAAGCGCTATAGAGTGAGGAAAAGCACCAGAAACAAGTTCATTAACCATTTGAGTGGTATGGGTTTTAAACTGTTTTGCACACAAAATACAGATGTGTCACATTTGACACCAATATCCAGCAACAGAATATTCAGAGACTGGTTGAGGATGAAATTGTGTCAAGTTCGGGGTAAATGGCTACAGAGTTGAAGTGAGCAAAATCGTTACATACACCAAAAGACAGAAATAGAAAATGTCAGGAAGTAGTGAAAAATACCCTCTGTTCTTTACCAGAGCTCAAAGTGATTCTTTAAACTTTTCTTGTTTTATCTCAAACACAGTGAAATATGGTTGTTAAAGTTCATCTTTAATTAAAATAGAAACTCTTCTGTACACCTTTTTCCCCAAACATTTGGTTTTATGTGTCAGCCTTGTTTAATAATTCTTCGAGCCACCTTTTGGAAGCCAATAGGGATAAAAAAAAAAAGAGTAAAAAATCTCATCCCCTGCCATTTTTCCTGCCTCCTACAGGGAAGAGGAGGAGAGCCTGCGGGACAAGATTCGTGCAGACCATGAGCGAGCGCTGCAGGAGGCAAAGGAGAAGCTAAGAAAGTCACGTGAGGAGCTGCAGGCTGAGATTCAGACAGAGAAGAACAAAGTGATGGAAGACCTGAAAAAGATACATGCAGGCCCTAAACCCTTGCCACCTGTGCCCATGCCCAAAGTGGTGGGCATTAGTGTTGGAGAACCATCAGAACCTGACGTCAAAGAGAAACGTGACAAGATCAGAGAGGTAAGATCATCTTTGACCAGCTGATACATAGGTTTGGTTCAGTTTATATGGGATTTACTGTACATCTGTGGTGGGATTCATGTAAGTTCCTTCACTGCCTCTTACTGGTGGGGTTTACTACACACTCGAATTATTTTCTGTTCTAACTGTGTTGAGGAAAACTTCCAGTGATGAGTGATTTTATTAGAGAGAGAAAGTGCCAGTAAAACTGTGGATTTTATTAGAAAATAAAGTGCTATTGATCTTGTGTACGCTGTATATATACTCCAATGGGCAATAGTCCACTGAGACCAGTGTTTGCCATACATAGACTTTACTTCGGCGGACTGCCCAGGTATATTTGGCCACCTGTTTTTATTAGTACATTTTTCTTAATCTTTTTGAGAACAACATCATCTGTGATTGATTAAGTAGAAGATGATTTCCCCTCGATCTTGGCTTTTCCTTTTTTTTTTTTTAAATGGGTAACATTTTATTTTATCTTCGAGCTGGGCACAGTGCACTGTTTCACCTTCACTCTCACACACTCACTCATATACACACACCCTCACACGGTGAACAGCTCCTCTTCTCCAAGTCTGTATGTTGAACCCATTTCTATCAGTTTCAATAAGTTATTAGCAAGCTATTAAGGCTAGCTAAGCTAACGTTAGACTACAGCTGTTGCCAAGAACTGCTCATGCAAGTGGATAAGGTACATGCTAATTCTTAAACTCTGACACTGAATGTTTGCTCCCTCAGTCCAAAGGAATAGCCCAGTGAAAAATATTTTCCTAGACTCAAAAGGACTTGTCCTGATGAGTCACAGAGACAATCTGAACAAAAGGTTCAGCGAAACAGAATTAACATTAAAAACCTAAACTGAACAGTCTGACCAGGGTGATTGGCTGAAGAGGGAGATGCAGGGCTACAGTAGGAGAGGATAGCAGACAACATGCTGCTGTGGGTGACCCAGCTAGTGCAGCAAGCACAGAAGCCCTGTAATATTTCTGTATTTATTAAGTAAAACAGAAGCTACTGCCACAAGTAGAATCTAATTCTGTGGGAAACCCTGGGGATAGTTTGGCAAACATTCCTAAATCAATGCCATTAGGTCCTCATTCACAAAAATCCCTGTGAAGACCATTTTGCAGTAGGATGGGGTGAAAACATCCAACATAGACCCAAGTTTGGTGTAGGCGACCTTTAAAAAGCTCAGCATGTGTGTGCCAGGACCAGTTAGTGCTTGACCATATTGTACTGTAGGTCTGAATACATTTCTGTTGCCTCCTGTCTGTGTCAGTGCCAGCAGTGATCCAGACGGACAGTGCCTGTGCAGAATGCAGATGGTGCTATCTGGTCTCACTCTCTGTAGACACTAACCCATCCCCAGCTCATCTCTCTCTCTCTCTGTGCTCCTATTTATCCCTTTTCCCCCTGCAAAGTCTCCTGCACAATTACCTCATATGGTCTTTCTTGAAACAGCACTTGGAGCTGGCCCATTCACCCAGACCTGCCTGTCTCTTAATGTCCTTTTTCTTCTTTTCACCATTACCATTCAGAGAGAATGCCATACACTCCCAGAAGAACAAGAATGCAGCAACTGTATGCGTTACAGCACAGCACACTTCCCCTCTTTTGATTGCTTTGTGATTCCAAGGAGAAATCATAATTACATACTGTGGCTGTAAGAGTGGAGCCTCTTCTTTTTTAGTGCGACTTCCAGGCAGCCATTTGTCCTGCATTTTTATGTTGTAAAGTCGAGTCCATGGAGCATCTGTCTCTGTGTCATTGTTTGTTTTATGTAGACAGTCAGTGATAGTGGTTGAGCCAGCCTCTGACAGTGTATTACTGTTTAGGTTTATTTTGGTTTGGTTCAGATTTGATCCCATGTCTGGAGGATCAGTGACTGCTGATTTTGGTTATAATGATTAAAGTGGGGGCAGTTTTCTTCAGTAGCTCTGTGGTGACACAAAATGACAACATAAACACAATACTTGTCAGGTTATGTTGTTTGCTTTTTGTCGGTTGATACTGACAAGAAATTTGAAGTTGATTTTTGTTTTTTCTTTAAGTGAAACGTGGTAAAAATATGTTCACCCTGAGTGGATGGTGCGTGAAGAGAAACAAAGTACTGCAGAGCTAAATCACTTGGAAAGCGCTGGTAACTCCTAACATCCTAAATAATTTGAGCTAAAATAAATCTGGTTTAATTTATCTCAATCTGGTGCTTATGATATGATTATTTCACCACACCTTTGCACCTCTATATCACCATCTTGATACCATCTTAATCTTCATCCGCTCTTGGCTTTTGCAAATGAAAAGACTGTTGGTTGGTCATGAACACTAGCTGTGGAGATTTTGCTCTTTATTCCATCTGAGTTTGTGGAAATTGGTTAAATCCAGCTGGATACTTCAGCTGCTCTGTGGCCCTTTATTCCTCTAGAAATAGAACTAAACCTTGTTTTTACACCTTGCAGACACATATTTCATTGACTGTGCAGAACACAGAACCCTTCATTTCCACCGTGTCCATTAGCTTAGAGCCTTGTGCTCTTTTTGTATTCTGCTAATTACACGAGCTTGACATTAAACCATTGTCTGGAGGTAGAGAGCGCTTTAGGGTAATAAAAAAAGGAATGGAATGAATTTGACTGTTAACTGTTACACTGCTATTCACCTGTCACATCATGAGGTATTGTTAGCCCCGAGCTGCTGACATACCTGAGTGCTGCTGTTAATGGGCCATGGTACAAAGGCACGGTTCACTTTCAGTGAGGTTTGTTCATCAATAATAACAGTAGTAATGCAGACTGTCCTATTCTCCCTGATGTCTTTTAATCTGGTCAGCTTTGTTCCTGCCAGGAACCAGGATAAATGCATATCTGCTTGAAATTAGAGGTTAGATTGCTCATTAAAAACACTCCATTAATGCTTCAGTGACTTTATATTTTAAAGTAACAGTTTTGATGATTTTATAACATTTTAAGTGATTGGTTGATCACAGTTAAAAGGGTGCACCCACAATAAAGGGAGTCATTCAGACCCATATAAGACAGTTAGTCAGGAATTGCTTCTTTCATTTGAGAAATATATCTAAATTAAGGAAGATTTTATCTAAGGGAGATCTTGAGATGATTATTCATGCTTTTGTTTCTTCACACATTGATTATTCTAATTCTCTTTTTACCTGTTGTAATAAGTCCATTTTAAATCGTCTTCAGATTGTCCAGAATGCAGCTGCGAGGCTCCTGACAGGAACCTCTAGAACAGCTCACATCACTCCAGTCTTGTATTCACGTCATTGGTTACCAGTCAAAGCTAGAATCGATTTTAAAATCTTACTGCTGACATTTAGAGCACTACATGGGGCCTCAGTACATTATCGATCTGCTGACCCCATACTCCCCCAAACGTACTCTTCGTTCTGTAAACCAAACTCTTTTGGTGGTCCCCAAAACTCGTTTTAAATCTCGGGGGGACCTGTCTTTTCAGGTCGTAGCTCCAAGACTGTGGAATGCCCTACCCTTGACTCTACGTATGACTGAATCTATTGATGATTTTAAAAAACAGCTAGCCAGCTTTTTGTTTTGTGACGAAGAGAATTCACACAAAACAGTAGTGAAGTAGGTCCCCGACAGATCCCACATCAAGTATAAATATAATGTCAATTTAAAATGATGGACCCGAAGTAATGTCCTGTGGTTCATTATGGCTAAAATGATTAGCTGCATATTAGGGCTACCCCTTGAAAGTTGACCAGTCCAATCTGCCATCAGGAGAAATGTCAGTCAGCTGAGATTGTTCAAGTCAAACCTTTATTTTGTCATCCGGCGTGCATCACAATTGAAGTTAACCCTGGAACCCTAGTGTATTTTTTTTGTCTTCTTCTCCTTGTTCTGGGACACCAAGCAGCAATTTGCTCATTACTAGGGGGTGGGGGTGGGGATTCCCACTTCAGCTGGTCTAGATGTTCCTGTCACTCTTTTGCATTTGAATACCTAACATTATGTGAAGGTGGTGGAAATCATCACTGAAATTCAAGCAAGTAGATTTTCTGACAGTTTATTAATATTTATCTACAATATATGCAGATTTAAATGGGCTGTTTTCAACACCACATTATGGTTAGTAAATACGGACGTGGACTAAATTGATGGTACCCTTCCCTTAAAGAATGAGAAACTCACAATGGTCACTGAATTAATGTGAAACTGACAAAAGTAATAATAAATAAACATTTACTGAAAATTAACCAATGAAAATCAGTCATTGCTTTTGAATTGTGGTTCAACAGAAGAAACTAATGAAACTGGCCTGGACCAAGATGATGGTAGCCCTAGAAAAGGGGACATGTTAAACTAAAGTGCGTCCTCTAATTAGCATCACGGGTGTTTTCAAACTTGTAATCAGTCAGTCTGCCTATTTAGAGGGTGAAAAGTAGTCACTGTGCTGTTTGGTATCATGGTGCGTACCACACTGAACATGGACCACAGAAAGCTAAGGAGAGTTGTCTCAGGAGATTAGAAAGAAAATTATAGACAATCATGTTAAAGGTAAAGGCTACAAGACCATCTCCAAGCAGCTCGATGTTCCTGTGACTACAGTGGCACATATTATTCAGAGGTTTAAGGTCCACAGCACTGTATCCAACCTCCCTGGACGTGGCCACAAGAGGAAAATTGATGACAAATTGAAGAGACGGATAATGCGAATGGTAACCAAAGAGCCCAGAACAACTTCCAAAGAGATTAGAGGTGAACTCCAAGGTCAAGGTACATCAGTGTCAGATTGCACCATCCATCGCTGTTTGAGCCACAGTGGACTTCATGGAAGACGACCGAGGAGGACTCCACTGTTGAAAGCAACTCATAAAAAAGTGAGAATGGAATTTACCAAAATGCATATTGACCAGCCACAAAGCTCCTGGGAGAATGTCCTTTGGACAGATGAGACAAAACTGGAACTGTTTGGCAAATCACATCAGCTCTATGTTCACAGACGCACAAATGAAGCAT